AGCTTACGATAACGCCGGAAGTAGTCCTGCATGGTTTCCAGTGAGTCCGGAGCGCGAGTCCGGACAAGTCATATAGCCCAAGGGATGAGTTGTTGGTCCATCACGCGGATGGTTGCACTCCCGCTGATGGTGCTTGGAAGTGATGTAGTTTTAGGAGTCGTGTGTTCGGCCATTGCTTAGTTCGGTTGGGTTTCGACAGTCGAGCATCCACGGTGGTGATTGCTGTTTTCAGAAGGAGGTGATGTAATGGGCCACATTGCATATATAACATAAACCGAAATCAACAATTACATTTGTAGACAGGTGCCGTGCCCGAATAGCGGGCACAGTGTGACAATTCACTATTGGCTTATTATTGGGACCAAAAGACCCAATATGGACCAATGATAAGTTAACCTGAAATATTGTGTTCCCGAGAGGCGGGAACACTGTCGTATTTATTACGACTTATAAATCTTCGTAATTAGTACGAATTGAACAAAAATAAATAAATCAATGTAAAAATACTTAATACCTCTTACTTAGGCTTGAGTCATCCTTAACCGCGCGTGTAAGTTAGGTACGGTACGTTCTAGCCCCTTTACAAATGGCGGTGTCATGTGTCTCAAAGTGGATACGATATTTGAGGTCCTCATTTTGAGGAGCCACAATGCGTGGTAGATCCGTCGAATTTATACAATAGTACAAAGCCCGTAAATGATGGAATATCGATGAAGGCTTGCACAAAAATGTGCCGAAAACTTGATGTACAAATCTTGAAACCATTCGCTGCCGAGGGCACATAGCAGAGCTATGCAGTTGTCTTCTTAGCGTATGCAGCACAAATAAGATCCGTGATTGACGTCGACAACGACGTGGCATAAGCAAGCTCATAGTCGGGTCTAATCGACAACGCATTAGCCAAAGCGTTTTGCTTGCCCGGCCTATGCTTCACCTCGAAGTTATATTCAGCAAAAAAACGAAAGCCAGCGGGCCATGTTCTGCGGGAGATGAGGCGACGGAGTCGCAGTGCATAAAGACACATGATCGGTATAGATCACAGAAAGCTTCGAGCCAAGCAGATGAACTCTGAAATTGATTAGAGCATACTACATTGCAATTAACCCCTGTCATGAACTGAATAGTTCTTCTCTGCAGATTTCAGCTGTCGAGATTCGAAGACGATCCCACGCTCACGAGTTTCATCGTCTGTTTGAAACAGAGTACTACCAATGGCAAAATCCGACGCGCCACGTATGTGGTGAAGTGCTTTCCTAAATTGTGAAGAACCCAGGGGCCAGTTGGATTTAAGGGACAAAGGGCCGTGGACTAGGAAGAAGGGACCACGCACTCGAGAGAAGGGACCGGAGATAATGGGAACCTCGGAGTGAAGCGACCGTTGGCTGAGAATTTGGAAGACAAACAAAGGAGAGGTCATTACCAGGGTAACTGTTTAACCGGTACCGAAGGGAGTCGACCATGGCCCTCATTGGTCGACCCGGTCCATCATTGGTCGAACAGGTCCCTCATCGGTAGACCTGGGTCCCTCATCGGTAGACCTCGGCCCCTCGTCGGTAGACCCAGTCTCTCATCGGTCGACCCGGTCCCTCATTGGTAGACCCGGTCCCTCGTCGCTCGACCCGGTCCCTCATTGGTAGACCCGGTCCCTCGTCGCTCGACCCGGTCCCTCGTCGGTAGACCTGGGTCCCTCGTTGGTAGACCTGAGTCCCTCATTGGTCGACCCGGTCCCTCGTTGGTAAACCTGGGTCCCTCATTGGTCGACCCGGTCCCTCATTGGTCGACCCGGTCCCTCGTTGGTAGACCTGAGTCCCTCATTGGTCGACCCGGTCCCTCGTTGGTAGACCTGGGTCCCTCATTGGTCGACCCGGTCCCTCATTGGTCGACCCGGTCCCTCGCTGGTAGACCTGGGTCCCTCATTGGTCGACCTGGGTCCCTCATTGGTCGACCTCGGCCCCTCGGGGTTCAGCCACTCCTGACCAGGTAATACAAGGATCAGACCAGTCGACGCAAGGAATTAGAGCTTCAGGCAAGGATAGAGTAAAGGAGGTAAAAGGATAGGACTATATTAAATACTACTCAATTTGCGATCTACGTGGCACGACTCCGTCACCCAAGAAGGACTTGTTCTAAGTTACTCACTGTTCCGGGAAGAGATATATTTTGGCCCCCCGTCGAAGACAGTTGTGTAGCGAAGTTCAAGGGCGAATAGAGCTCCAGGATATATTTGGCCTGTGAGCTCGTTCGAGTAGCAACACCCCCCAAGACCCGCTATCGGAAGCGGTCTCCCTCACCTCAAGGTCCGGGAGCAACGTAAAGGTCAGGTGGTTAATACCCCTGAAACAAGAAGGAAAAGGCCAGGGACGACAAGCGCCCCTGAAGAATTTGGCTCTAAGTCCACTCTCGACAAGGTCGATCGAGTGGCCACCTACCGGCCCACCGAGTGAAGCATATCCACTCGAGGCCCCCCCCAGGTCTACCTCCCTCAAGGCAGACATCTACATCGTCACCAAGTCCTCCGAAGAGTGCAACCCGCCAGCCGACGGGTATACAAGGTGAGAGAAGGTTCATACGCGGCATCGGGGTACCCCCTCCGACAGTCGGCAGTCCGGCACAGTGAGTGGTGTGGGGTCTCATCATACAATTTTGAGAACCCACTCCACCACACTGACGTCTATAACTTCACCCAAGTCTTTCGAAGAGTGCAACCCGCCAGCCGACGGGTACACAAGGTAAGAGAAGGTCCATACGCGGCATCGGGGTACCCCTTCCGACAGTCGGCAGTCCGGCAAAGTGAGGGTTTTGGGGTCTCATCAAACAATTTTGAGAACCCACTCCACCACACGTACGACACTAAACGGTCGGTCAGGGTCTGACAAAGCCAAAATGGGAGCATGAAAGGCTAGCCTTCACCGCAGTAAAAGCGTCTTCGTGATCGACATACCAACACCATTCTACATCCTTCTTAAGGAGATTCGGGCAATGGCCACTTACGCAAGTCCTTCTAAGACTGTATAACGGGCCAAAGGACTATGGCTTTGACCTTAGCGGGATCCGCTCCGAGGCCTCGCTTCCCAATGAAGCAACCTTAAAAGGGAATATCTTCGGCACCAAAGATGCGTTGATGCATCAGCGTAGAGTTCATTAGTGCATATGCACTCGAGCACAGATCGTAAATGAACTATATGTTTTTCGGCATCAGACCGACCGTGTTCGGCACGGACAAAAATGTTTTATAATACGTCTGCACATAGCTGTGATGGTGCTGAAACAATTGCGTCACCAAACAATCATACGTAGCTGGAGCATTCAACAGTTCTTATGACTTTAGAAGTCTACCCGTTCCAAGGAACTAGGAGAGACTTCTAGTCAACAAGCTAAGTTGCTTACAAGTTCCAAAGAACTCAAGACCAGCCGGCCCGTTCTGAGAACTAGGCATAGACTATTTGGTCATATAAGCTAGAAGTTTAACGGGTTAAAGAACCAAATGCATAAAATGCTCTAGCGTACTAAGTCTAGACCGGCTTGTGCTTTACTGCTCAAAATGAGAATTGAACTTTATTTTTGTGCATTAAGATCTGAGAATAGCTATTCTAAGTATCCTAAACTAGACTAATCACTATAGTAGTAAATATTATATACAGAATCCTTTATGTCAACCAATAATATGTGTACGTTGTACTTAGTACGGCGATATCAGTTATCGAATCGTAACCGATAAGGAACGGTATTATCGATCCATTTCTTCACACTCTATACATCCGTAAGGACAAGTATCAAGAATACACGTTATGCATTATTTATGGTTATTCAACCGTGGTGTGATTGTTAGATATTTTTTATTCAACCATCGTGTGATCCCGTTACAGCCATCACCTTTCCCTATTAGCTCGCTGGTTTTATCACCACAAAGTGGTGATGGCAGCGGCGTGCTCTCATTGTAGTCGACTGGAAAAGAATGTGGTCATCGAGCCGGGTTTGTCTTCTGTGACGCTCGTATATTGATCCGCTTCCTGAAGTTCCTGGAGTTGGCAGGGTTGTATCGTCATGTTAGTGGTCCCACAGGATGCAAGAAATACAAGATGCTGCTTCGGATTTTGTATTTTTTTCTCTTCTATGCGATAGAGAACTCCATATCCACATGACTTGCTTATGCGTGCAGGTGCAATATATGTTGGCGGCTAAGCAATCTGCTGAGTGTTCCCGCTATATCTGCTATACCCCGGCACAATGCCGTCTACAACAACAAGAAGAAGTGGTGGCCTTCTCGACATGCTAATGAGCGACGGGACATTTGGTACTCCCGGCGTAGCGTCGTCTTAAATTGGCTTATACGGTCGCTGGTGGACAAAATGACGAAGTCTTAGCACCTCACGTAAGCGAAGGCTTAAAGCCAACACGCTGAAGGAGTCGCCGGGTACCACTGTCTGATTCGGTATAGTATTCTTGAATTTTTCTTGGCAATCCGTTACAGCAGAGTAAAAAGCTATAGATTATATACACTTAACAAGTTACTTTCTGCTGCCACGTTGGCATCAATACAGACGACTTATTTCTTACAGAACTAGTTGCCTATTGTATTACTGTTTATAGTGATAACTTCTATCCTTAAAATGGCTACACAAACCGGTTTGTTAGCCGTAACCGCTTGATCTAACTTCTGATTTTTCCGATACTAGCACCTCTTGAAAGGGATTAGGTGGTCATCCTTACAAATCCCAAGTCAAAATTTTATCACCCGCATCCCCCATTCATAGACGAAGCTGCAGACTGGCGCACACCACAAGAAGTGCCGACTTTTGACGGAACACGTAGACATTTCTATATAATCTTTCGACGAGGACAGGCGGTGTGACATTATAAACCACACTGTCTTCTCTGTCCATTTAAACGTTGTACGCTACGATTTGCCCGGAATCTGCTCGAGAACGCCAAGGTCGGGCGCTTTTAGAAAAACGCCCTTTAATTGTGAAACTGTGGATAAGAGCAAATTAGGCGATACCATGAAGAAATCGCCTGTAGCAGCCATGAGCAATATTCGAGATGCAGTACGACGCAAAAGCGTGGGACTGAGCTTTACTACAAACTTTAGTATCTTTAGTCGTAGCACAAGTTCCACAGGTGAAGATGATCGCTCGGAGCAGGGCATGGGGGAAGAAGGGGATGACTATAACGATGACGTGGAGAGCAGCCACTCGAACCGGTCGAGAGTCGATTCGACGCCGGGTGAAGACGATGTAGACAGCAGTCCATCGCCAGCTGTAAGCTCCCGTAGCTCATATGTCGAGCCACCGGAGCCTCCGCTGCCTCCTCCTGGTGGACTGCTGGAAGCAGCAACAAAGAATGTGCAAGGGAAGACTCAGACACTTATGGAGACACTCCACGAGGTCACAACGTCTCATGTAAGTGCATTTTTTTGCAGAATCTGGTTGATACTAGTGTACATGGCTACAGTTCGGAGGACTCAATTGTATGATCTACTTTGTAGGACGACGAAACGATCCAGTGCAGTGTCTTTCTTTCCAGGACGGCGTTATTTTCAGACCGACTCGTGGTGTTTATCGGAGACAGTGATGGAAGTCCAGCGGGTATTTGGAGTGCACGGCTGTGCGTACGCTCTGGATCTGAAGGAGGTGGTATCTTTAAGGGAAGTTTGGGATCGATGTTGCCGTATATAATGAAGGCAAAGGAAGACAAGTTTGGTATTGTCCTGTTTGACGATGTCTTCAAGGATTCGATGCGATCTGGAGAAATTGATGTAAGTGTTAGCCGTTAAGAGTCAAGGTAAATTGGTTACAAGTGGTATGAGACTCATGATTTGCTTGTGATACACTGTAATGCAGATGAAGAGTGCAGTACAACGATTTATGACGGGCTGGCGGAACCACGTTTTGACCTCCCGAGCTACACATGTATTTGTTGTGGCATACCGAGACGGCGGCATTCTGTTTGTGGAAGCACTGCGATCGCACATGAAAGAGATGCAGCGTCACATTAGTGGAGTTGCTTTCTTGCAGTCTGCGCATAGCATTTCGTCGGATGACTCGTATACGCTGCGAAAAATGATTGCCCAATGGTGTATCGCGTATTTGTCATCACCTGAAGGCGTGCAAACATTGAAGCGAATGAAATCAAGAGAGACTCCGTTGGGTTGTGTGGTCCTGTCGGCGGGCCGCGTGAAATCGGACGTCGACTTGCTGCAGATGGTTGTTTCCTCAGTGTTTGCAAGCTTCAAGGCACGGTGGTCAGGTTTTCGCGTGAAAAACGTAAATAGCGGCATGGAAAAGTCTTGTTACGCATGTAAGGGTGTTTTTAACATGCGTCGTTGGCGCCGGCATTGCCGCACGTGTCAGAACCCATGCTGTGAAAAGTGTTCATCAACAGAGAACACACGTCACGAGGGTCAGGTGCGTCTTTGTTTGACGTGCAAATCGCTGCCATCACTCATTCACTGGTCTCGACCACGTGCTGTTCGTACGGGTGAGAAAGAGAGCGTTTTTAGTGGATCAGCCAAGCCTGGCAAGATGTCAGTGAATGACTTTGAGCTCGTAACCGTCATTGGTCGTGGTGCATGTGGCAAGGTGCTTTTGGTACTAAAAAAAGACGGCGCAGACGCAGGCCACTTGTATGCGATGAAGGTGCTGAAGAAGGAGTGGGTGATGAACAAGGATCTAGTCACTCAAACAATGGCAGAACGTCGCATCTTGCAAGAGGCTGACCACCCGTACATCGTTCAGCTGAAGTACGCTTTCCAGAACCAAGACAAACTGTACATGGTGATGGAATACTATAGCGGTGGTTCACTGCGCCAGGTGTTGCGTCGTCGTGGCCGCTTTAGCATCAAGCGTGCACGGTTTTATCTGGCTGAAATTCTTCTCGCCATTACCCATCTGCACTCGTCAAACATTTTGTACCGCGACTTGAAGCTAGAAAACATTGTCATCACCGCGGACGGCAATGTGGCGTGCACAGACTTTGGTTTATCGAAGGAGGAAATGGATGACAACGAGCGGACGAGCTCTTTTGTGGGCACATGCGAATACCTGGCGCCCGAGTTAATTATGAAAGAGGGCTATGGCAAGGCTGTGGATTGGTGGGCACTTGGTATATTGGCGTATGAGATGATTCAGGGCGACTCGCCGTTCCGTCACAATGTACCTACTATCTTGTTTGACAAGATTTTGAAGGAAGAGCCTGAGTTTAGCGACCGCTTTACCCCAGAAGCTCAGGACCTGATTACTAAGCTGCTTACAAAAGATCCAGAGCATCGTCTTGGCTGTGGCCCCGACGGTGTCGAGGAAATCAAGCAGCACCCATTCTTTACAGAGATTGACTGGGACATGCTGCTGCGCATGGAGATGGAAGTGCCGCGTCCTCCACATCGTATGGAAGACGTGACCGACGAAAGCCACCTCAATCGCGCGATTGCCAAAATGCGCGAGGCACGTGAAGAGCTCATGCCGGACTCGCCTGTGTCATTGCCTTCGTCCCCCTCGGAGCAGAAGCACTTTGACCGCTTCTCGTACCAGGGACTTGGCGACTGGAACCCAGCGATGGCTGACATGGAATTTGACGAAGAGACCGGCGACTTTAAGCAGGGCACCATTCACGAAGATGAAGAATTTGTTGAGGAGGAGTACATGGAGGAGTCTGGCGACGGTGATGGCGTGCCGCTGTCTCCTGGCTCGAAGGCAAATTCGATGACGTCTTCAAAGATGTCTCCTTCCAAGCCCAACGGTTCGGACACTCCCGCGGCCTCAAGTTCGGCCGCATCAGCGTCGCCGAGGAGTCCACAGAGCGCCGGCACCCCACGTAGTCCACCCCCGGCACCAATGAGTCCAGCGGACTTTTCGGCGTCTTCAAACTCACCGACGGAGCCGCAGTCCCAGACCATTTAGGAACCGCATATAAAATTTGTAGGCATGAATGGAGATAAGAGAGATACAACATTGGATGTAAAATGCATAAAATGATGGTACATATTATATATATATGTACGCACGCTTGAGAGATGGACGCAGAATAAATTGGGACTATTATTGCCGGACGCCAAAAAGATCATTTAAGCGGCGTGCGCTTTTGGCCAATCAAATTATCTCTCTCATTTTGCAACAAAAACTCAATGGGGGGAGCTGATGTAACGTGGACCGCAAGTTTAATTCCAAGCTCACTCTGTAATTGGAAGCTTAAAAGTCTCATAAAAGTATCTTGACACTTTCTAATTATCATGTTTGCTAAGACTATTCGCTCAATGACCACTCCGGCTCGTCGTGGTTTTGCAACCAACCAAAAGATTAAAGTGCATAAACCGATCGTGGAGTTGGATGGTGACGAGATGACACGCGTCATTTGGTCACAGATTAAGGACAAGTATATTCATCCGTATTTGGACTTGGATATTGAATACTTTGACTTGGGATTACCGCATCGTGATGCGACAGACGACCAGGTGACGATCGATGCTGCTCACGCCATTCAGGAACATCACGTGGGTATCAAATGTGCGACCATCACTCCGGATGAGCAACGCATGGAAGAGTTTAAGCTCAAGAAAATGTGGCGTTCGCCCAACGGCACGATCCGTAACATTCTAAACGGTACAGTCTTCCGTGAACCAATTGTAATTTCCAATGTGCCTCGCCTTGTGCCTGGCTGGAAGAAGCCCATTGTTGTCGGTCGTCATGCTTTTGGTGATCAATACAAGAGCACGGACTTTATTGCTCCTGGTCCGGGTAAGTTTGAGGTCGTGTACACTCCTGCGGACGGTAGTGAGAAGACGACCCTTGAAGTGTACGACTTTAAGGGCCCTGGCATTGGTCTTTCAATGTACAATACGGACGAGAGTATTTACGGTTTTGCCAAGAGCTGTCTGTCTTTTGCTCTGAGCAAGAAACAGGACCTATTCCTGTCCACCAAGAACACAATCTTGAAGAAGTACGATGGTCGCTTTAAGGACATCTTTGAGGAAGTGTACCAGAATGAGTTCAAGGCCAAGTACGACGCCGCCGGCATCTCATATACGCATCGACTTATTGACGATATGGTCGCCCAAGCTTTGAAGAGCGATGGTGGCTTTGTATGGGCCTGCAAGAACTACGATGGTGACGTACAGTCAGACATCGTCGCCCAAGGCTATGGCTCGCTCGGCCTCATGACAAGTGTGCTAGTCGCCCCCGATGGAAAGACAGTGGAGGCTGAAGCCGCCCACGGCACAGTCACCCGCCATTGGCGCCAATACCAACAGGGCAAGAAAACGAGCACCAATCCCATTGCCTCGATCTACGCCTGGACGCGCGGTCTTTCCCACCGTGGCCAGCTTGACGGAAATCAGGAGCTTGTTGACTTCTCCCTGAGCTTGGAGGATGCCGTGATCAAAACGGTGGAGGCTGGCCACATGACGAAGGACCTGGCTATCTGCATTCACGGCTCCAGCGTGACCCCGGACCATTACCTGTACACGGAAGACTTCATGGACAAGGTTAAGGACACCTTCGACGCCACCCGCAATTAAGCAGAGAGTGAGAGGAACGGAGGGCATTCTTTCGACTTCCTGCGTGATGAGCTGAGCTTACTATCTACAGATATCCGGTTAGCGGTTGCGCTGCCTACGCATCCGCCCCATTTTGTCAGCTTGTCAATACAGCATACGTCAACCGATTTGTACAAAGAGGTGCTAATTAACCAGTTGAGGGACCGACCAATATGTACAGTCTTGATCGGCAGCTTCACTGCAACCATGTCGTGTAGTTCACTTGATCAGAAAGTCATTAAACTACTTCGACAAAAGCCGTGCATCCTTCTGGGGTCGAGTGATCTCAAGACAACTCTTGTGCTCTTTCCCGAACACAGACCGCAACAGCTTTCGATCGTCTTTCGTGGTGTAACATGTAAGAGGTGATGCCTGTAAGAGAATACGAAGGAATTGCATTCCTTAGCTCAGGTCTTAGAAGATATTTTTACGATTGCAATCCTTACGTTCCGCTTGGGTGCAGCCGCATCACTATTGTCAACGCGAACGAGATGGTTGTTATGGCATAAGCACACATTTTGGTGGGCAGCTTTTTGCCCGGTATCGCCTATGCAATAATGTGACCAACCGTGAAGCCTGATGGCCGTTTGCATGATCTTCAGCTGCCGTTCAATACTGTTGCTTTAATATTCGATGGCTTTACTTGTGCCAAATAACACGTTGGCAAAACATGTGCTCGTTCCGGTCGGGCAAACGAAGCACAAGAAAGACTACTGACTCATTTTATCTCGGTGTTGGAGGTGACAGGGTATATGACGAGGAAGAGGGCGCCGGTTTCAAAGATTTTGGTGCGATGGTAACTTGACCGGACACTGATGACGCTGATGGAGAACGTGACCCCAACTGTGAAGAAAGATTAGAAAACACTGAACTAATGGGGAAGCAGTTTGTGCCCTACGCACATTACCACAGTAAAAGCACAAGTGAGATATCAAGACACATGCAGCGAACACAAGCGCGTTCAGAACAGCCCTTGCATACATACCGGGTTACACAGGACGTCAAGCGGGTGCGTGTGTACTGCTTCCAGCCTGCTTGAGACTGCTCCTGCAGGCCGATCATGCTGCTGGTTAGGGAACTGCGCCGACGAGTTCCTATGAGGAAGTGGCTGGTTCGGCTGCTGTATCATGGCGACGGCATTTGCGGCAGCCACAGATCCTAATTGTGAGTATTGCAAGCACGTAGCTAGCTTGCTTACTTCTTGCAGTAGGCGATCCCGATCACGGCGCAATTCATCTCGCTCTCGCTTCAGCGTGTTTATAGTAGATACAGCCTCCTGCAAAACAGCACTCTTTCGTACGCGGTTGGAAAGTCCTAGTAGGTCCACAAGCTCTTCAAACTGCAGCAAATTGTTAGCTGAATGGCTTGTAGCAACATACACTCTTAACTTAAGATAACGGCATACCTTGACGTTCACCTCTTGACGGCGCATCTTTTCACGTGACTTCTTCCGGAAACCTCTATCATCTTCCGGTGGTGGCGAAGGTGCACTGATAGCAGATTTGCTGCCAATAGTCGAACATACGCTAGGATAGCACGACACGGTCATGACGTTAACTCTACTGGCAACCCGTAGAAAAACGTATACAACGACACGCTCATCTGTAGTAGAGTAGTATAGCATTTAGAAAGAACATAACGTACCGATTGAACGAATCAGCTTCTCCAAAAATATTCATGTCATCATCATCACTGCTTAAAATGTTTTGGCACTGTAGACTCGGCATTTTGGGTGAAGCAGGTTTAATACTACCATCAAGTGAGGTCGATACATTTGCTGTAGCCAATTCTGGCATTGCCGATATCACCAATTGCTTGTGTTGATCCAGACTAAAGTTCTCCAGTTCTGCCTTATCTCTCGTTGCTTGGTTCATCATCACTGCATCAGGTTTGGCGCCAGCAGGAGTCAATCCAGTTTGAAACAACGTAGCAATGTCCTTCCTAGGCGAACCAAAGCCCAACCAGTCTTCAAGTCCAGTACCATGTTTCAGCATTTCTGACAGTGGCGGTGACGTCAAATGTTGCATAAAGCTTCCACCACCATTACCACCACCACCAGCAGCAGCAGCAGCAGATGAAAACGAAGTGTCAGAGTCATGAACCTCTGCTATCTGTTGTTGTTGCTCATCTTCTGTGTATCCAAGAGAAAATCCCTTCCAATTGTCGTCAATGTCCGTCTGCAAGAAATATTCGCCCAGGTCCTCAATTTGCAGCCCTAACATGTCCTCGTCGAAGTCCATCGTCACAAGTCACACTTACCTGCACCTTACAATTTTATATTGGAAAATACCCTGCCAAGTTTTAGCAAAACGTTACGATTTAGCCTACCAACCACCCATTTTTAAATGCGAATTACAAGTACAATTTACATAAAGGGGTCACTGGAAGCTCTCACCACTTGCGCGTTGCCTTAAGTATCGCCGTGGAATAACGCCCAGCCAATGGGCATGCTAGAATTTGATTTTTAATCAATAGAGTAGCGTAAGAATAGCAGATACGGCCATAACGTAATATTAGTTTATACAAGAATTCATGACGGCTTAGCTAATTCGTCGAATAATATTGACTTTACATAAAAATTCAAAAAACTTGCTAACATTCTTTTCTGTGAAAAAAACTGAAGCAGTGGAGAGGTTATAAGTCGATTAAGTGAAATGGTATACTGTTTTCGAGTTAAAATTTACGAGGTACCAGCTCAACCCCATACGCAGTAATAAGGCTGCGTGACTACTAAAATATTCTATACGACTACACGCTGACGCTTGTGTGGACTTGAACTCGCTGATCCCGCCATTTCCGAACGTGAATGTTTCTCTGTTTCGGAGCTTGCTGACTCTGACGTGGTGGTTGGAGCTCGCGATTCTGAAGACGGTACTGCCTTTGTTGGGGACGCCCCTTGAATATCGCTACACTTGGCCAAATTTGAAGATACTGTCGGGTCATCATCATGACTGCCTTGTTTCGGTTCACGCTTCGGTGGCAAGACTGCGACTGTAGCCGACTTGTCAGCAATAGTCGTCTCGCTTTCATTGGCGGCTAGCGAGTCGTCTCTCTTATTCGACGAATTATCTTGCTGGGGCTGCTTTTGCCTCTTATCCGAGGGCTCGTCAACGTTGCAAGTTGTTTCGTCCGGCTGGAAAGTTTTATTATTATTGTCCGTAAACACCCCATCACCGCCGACCGGGGAGTTTGGACGACTCCTAGCGGACATGTCAAGCAGCTCGATCTGTTTACTCGGAGCATAGTACGGATCTTCGGTCTGCTGTGGCTGTTGCGGGTGAACACTGTTACCACAACCTTGGCTGAAGTCCGACGGCACGAGATTTAGACCGAAGACGCTGCTCTTGCTGTCATGAAACTCTCCAGGTATAACTCCACCAAGCATGGGGTTCTGTCCAAAGAGGCCTGCATTTTGGGGGCTGAAGTCATGAAGAATCATGCCGGCTGTAAAAAAAGCATCATCTTTCGTATGAGTAAAAAGAAAGCAGCTACGGCGACGCAATTATAGAACGTACTTGTAGGTGATGGAAGAATGTTTGAGAGGTTGGGTGGGCTGGGAAGCGAGTTGAGCATGTGATGGCTTGGAAGGCCTCCAAGTGTTCCCATCTACAAACCCAGATCGTTTGATATTGGTTACCAAAGCCATGAAATGTCGTCAAACAGACAGCAAACGTACCCCGTGCTGGTAAAGCGGCAGCGTCGGTGGGGTATAACCAGCGTGCTGCTTCTGGAGAAGCTGCTGGAAACCACGATGCACCCGTTTCTTCTGGGTCCGCGGTCGACTGCAAGAGTTGAGCAAATATTGGTCGGGATCGTTTGTAAGTCCCAATGGGGCACCATTCATACCTCCGTGCATGGACTGGAACGACTGCTCGGTAGCTCCATTTGAAGTCGATCCGTGGACCATGTTGAAATTAGCCGATGCTTCAGCATTGGCTCCCGCTGCTGCTGTTGCTGCCGCCGCCTTGGCCGCTTGTTGCAACTGTTTCTTCTTTTCCCCAAACATGATCTCGTACTAAAGACAATGGTAAAGAAAATGAAGCACATGAACTAAAGTTCGTCACGGAGCCCGCTATTGATGCAAAACACAGAAAAATGCATCGAGGGGTACTCACATCGTTGTTGTCTTTTGTCTCAAACGGCTGTCCATACTCGGTATACTTGAGCAGGATCTGATCTACACTCGTGCTCGAGTATTGGTACAGTTTCTCGTTCGAGTCGAATACAATTAGCGCGATCTCACAGTCGCAGAGCTTCGATAGTTCCATGGCCTTTTTAAAAATGCCATTTTTGCGTTTGGCGAAGGTCACTTGACGGTTGCGATCGTCCTCAATGCGTTTGATCTGGATTTTCTTGCGGCCCATGGTTCAGTCACTGTCATCGATACAGACACATTGAATTTAGTTTAGTTTTGCAAACACGATCCTACTCTTTGATCATACAGTTGACGAACGTTGAAATGGAAATAGCCTTGTCGAATATAGCCGATATTTATATCCAAAGCAAAACAAGGAGTGCTGAGTTGTATAAATATCTCCTGATGACTGAAGCTCAAGCACGACGAGTTTGGTTGCGGCAAGCTATTTTTATAGTGTGAGCTCTTAATGCTGGACGAAACGAACTCTTACGCGGCGGGTTACAGCACAGCACCATAATGCCGCGTAGGAGTTATTTTTATCCGTTTTTCTCGTGGCTGAAGGGGCTGCCGTTGCAAATCGGTGGAAAGAGCCTTGAGGCGAAGCTGTTGCGAAACCAGCGCTATCCCTATTGCTGTCTATTATTTAACACGGTAAGAGACGCGCGATCGAGGCTGTTTCAGGGAAAGCGACAGGAAGCCGCGAAAGGATGCAGTTACGAATGACTTGAACTTTGTAGCGAGAGCTGAAGATTGTCTTTCGCGGTACGTTGACGTGCGATGCCACCTGGACGGTGGTTTCTACTGGGATCTTTTGCATGTGTACAATTTTTGTCAGAACAATTCAATTCCTCGTGACGCATGGCTGGCAATAAAAGATGGCTGTCGAAACTGTACGGGATCCCGGGCCAGTAAGTTACCGGCAACGAGTGACCGTCCAAGCTGGCACCATTCATCGACGATTTTTGCTGTGGTTTTGCTTAGAAAACTTCGCCATAGTTGACTGCAGCGAAGACGCTGTGCTGCAGCTGAGTCTTTATTTACATATGTAAAGGTACTGCAAAACACATCTCAATGTTCATGACCATTTGGACCAAGTCGTTGCCGTCACGGCAGATTTTGATCTGGATAACAAATGATCTTCAAAAGGAAAATGTACAAATAGCAGAATCGTATTATTGCAGAAGCTTACGCCTCGAACACGGTACGCGATGGACTACAGTGACAACCGATACCCGTGACGATGTGATCGGTCCAGAACACGGTCGTACGAATTGAGGCAGCCCACCAAGCCCCTTGCACTCAATGACAGGGCTGCAGCTGCTGTCCTGTTCCAGACACGCTCATCAAGATATAAAAGGTGACATACCCGGTCCGCGGCTGGCAGTGGAGCTTAAGTTGTATAGAGTATAATGGAGAATGAATATATTGAGTAGGAGGAAAAGTAGATAGATTCGTCTGAAGCAAGATTAGTTTGACGCAATCGTCTTCTGGTGCAATCAAAAAAAGGTTCTTGTGGTCATTCAGGATAGTCTGCTAGAATTAGCACGGGAAAACGCAGTGGATGCTCACGCGCTCGGTCGTTTTGCCCTTTTCAATGGAGGTTGTGCAGTTGTTGTAGCGAAGCTACACAGCAGTCAAGTCAGAGGAAGACAGGAGCGAAACTACACAGCAGTCAAGTCAGAGGAAGACAATTAGGCTAAAAGCCGCTTGATTCTATAGAACTAAATACATTTACGGCTAAAAGCCTCTTAGTTCTACAGGAAGAGACTAAACTAAGTACCAAACTTAAAAGTCACCCTGTTCTAAGGAATTAGGAGGGACTTTTAGTCTACAAGCAATAAGTTTAAGGCTCAGGAAGCAACGCACAGAGTGTATGGGCTAAAAGTTACACTACCACCGTATATGAAGACGCACCCCGTATTTTACGTGGGTCGTCTGAAACGGTATGTGGATCCACAAGAGATCATATGCACATCAGTCTAACGAGAACGATGGTGACGTCGACTGTGAGTCGAGCGTCGTTGCCGATCAGGCGAAGAGGAAGGTGAACGACTCCCCGTATATGAACGAGGCGATAGAGGACTCGGTGATCGAGGATGACTCCGCGTCGAACGCGGGTCTCTCATTAGCAGTCGCTCATGTATGTCCAAACGGGTCTTCACGCGGTCATACCCCTGACGGTCCCTCGTCCTCACATCGCGTAGATCCGAAGTCAGTCGCGAGACTTGACTCAAAAAATCCGTCACATCTTTCTTCATCGCAGCGATCTCCTCCTGCGACTGAACGACAACAGGATAGGCAGTCGCGAATAGTTGGGCGTAATCGCCGCTCCTATAGGGCGCCACCTGTGTTGGTGAATGCGGGTGGGAACACACGCTTCCTTGTTGGAAGGTTGAAGGGCCACCACAATGTGAAGCAAAATTTTCAGTGGAATGGATACCCGAAAAGTTTCGACTTTTGGGAACCGATCGACGCGTTGCGTGTCGACGTGCCTGGTCTGGTGGATGCTTACGAGAAGAAGCACCGGTTGCATTCGCTCTGCTAGGTCCTAATGGACTAGCAGGGGCAGCGTGACGAGAAAGAGCTGCAAAAATTTATCGCCCAATATTTTTTTCTCGAACGCGTCATAGCGAAGCTGATTCGCTGCGAACGCTGTTTCACTGCATCTGCATGCGGTTTGACACGGCGCAGAAACTCTGCCTCGTATTCATCGGTTGTTTCATTCGAACGAACACGACGGGGATAGGGAATGCACGACCATGTGCTTTTCCCTGCCATTTCCATGATTGGAATACGCTCAAAGGTTTATTAGCGTTAATAGTGGCACGCCTTAAAAGCGTCGCACTATTTACACGTCAGCGTTGTCCATTCGGATGGCGGTGGCATAGCTGGCAAACCATCACTCACATAACCGTTCTCGCGGTGGCTTGCTAGTTAGGCCGACTGTGAAGTCGAAGGGGCTTTTTACTCACCCTCGCCTGAGTCTGACTCTTCATTATGGATTGTCAAATCATCAGATGTAGGGTTGACAGAGGCGGACGAATCAGAATCGCCGACCTACTGTTGAGTCGCGGCTGCTTCTTTCGAAGCAGCGCGTTCAGTTGTGGTCGCTGCGCTTGTTGACGCAGACGACAAGGCATGACCCTCACTTTCAGGGAGCATGGAAGCTTCCTGAAGGTTGGGTGCTTATAATGATGGGGACAAATGTTCCATCAAACCATTATGCTCATCACGACTTTGGGGTGATGGAAATGGCGTGCACTCAGTGTAATCAACAATGAGAGACAGGTCATCATCCGCACCATAGTGAGATGGATTAGTATTCTCTGCTGACATGCTGACATTAGATGTCGGTGTTTCAAAGAGACACTTAGCGACGAATGCGAGTTATCGCGGTGCGTGCGCTTTGTGTTGGTTTACATGGGCGATTTTGAAGGCGACCCATCAGTCATACCATGTTTCGGTGGCATCTTCTCGTTTTCGATGTTTTACAAAATGTAAAAAGTGTCGTAAAGAGGGGGATGGTGTAACGAAATAAAAGTTACACGGTTCTTTAAGTATCGAATACTTATCGGGCATGCCTGAAATACCTTAGACCTGCCACTTGGGTGCGGCACCCACCCTTGTGAATGTGATATCCATGGATGGATTCAAATTCAACAAGAATGACGCCAGTTGGGACTAGGCGTCATGGTGACGCTTCAGACAGACGTCATCAGCGAGCTTAAATATATTTTAAGCTCGCACTTAAAGATGCGCTTCTACAGAGACGCGTGTCCGATATTTACATTTGACCAATCAGTAGTTTGATTTACATAAGATTAAATTCTATTAAAATATATCAGTCTTGAAGTTACTAACTACCGACCACTGCGCACGAGAAGCTGAATAAGCTTCTGCGTGACGTAAGTGAGACATTTGTTAGTTGTTCGTTGCGCGGTTCGCTTCAAAGCGAACGGAAACGGCTGGTACTGCGCTTTAAGCACCGACCAACACCACCACCGCACGTGGAGGTAAGACGGTCTAACCGCCTCCTCACGCTGCTCGAAGGTGTGTGCTCGTAGCACACGGCAGCTTCTTTTTAAGTACCCGTCTACAGATTGCAAGAATAATTTAGAAGCTTCAAGGTGCAAAGAACCTACGCACGAATTGCATAAGAGAACAAGTCAGAACGACTTGCGATCTTTAACTTAAATTGAGAAGTGATTTTGTGATTTTTTATATGCATTAAGATTTAATGAATAGTAGTTACTTTAAGTACACTCTACTAGATTAATTACTATAACAGTAATTATAATATGCAGACTTTGTTATGGGACGATGTGTCGCCGGAAGATCTGTGTATGATATAGCAATATCGATTAAGATTCGTATGAGCGTTAAGATACGGTATTCGGTAATACCCTATCTTAACGCTCATACTTATTACCTCTCTATAGAGAAGTATCATAATGCATTATATGCAATATAGAAACTTCCACGGTAAACTTCTCGGTATGATGTTCCAACCGTCGTGTTACTCCGTTACACTCTCCTTCACCAGACTGGCGGTACCACATAACGTCACTCGACATAATGCTCAAAGAGGTTGCGAAACACGAACATTAAACCTAGCGGTTTTCCATAGTGTAATCTCAAATGAAACCCCCTAGCCATGAGCCTAAGGCTCTTAATGATCTCTCTGAAGGAGAGTTAGAGGTAATGTAGATTACGGGAGTGGCACCAGCTTCCTCGAAGGCAATGAGTCTAAGTTCAGTCCTAAGGGTGAAGACGAACGCTTACACACACCTAATCCATTCCCAGAACGTTGTGTTGCTGACACGGTAACTACAATGCGCTCAGCGCCTGGCGAAACGCCTCCTTTTTCGATCACGAACCAGCTCGATGAGCAACAGGAGCATTCTACAAGCGACGGCAAGCTCTGCATACCAAGCAAAGGCCATGAGCAAGCACAAAGTACAGTTAGACTACGTCCTCAATCAGAGCGTCTTAAAAGAGGCCACGGGGCCATTCGCTGGGCATATGATCCATAGGAGCGGAGGCTAATACGCCCGAGGAGCTCACCGCGCTAGTGGATCTCCGCCAAAGATATCTGGATCCAGTCAATACCACTCCAAGTCAATATTTACAAGGCACGCCTGGATAGGCAACACGTGGTGCATCTGTTCCTCCCATGAAAGGGGTCCCTATCCTGCTGTTCGCACGAGAGACGAAAGATGAAGAAGA